CATGCTGGGATTATTGTGCTTACACACTGTGCCGGAGCGCCCCCTAGTGGCTTTAGATAACAACATTCTCATTAAGATAATTGAAGAACAAATGTACCTTTGTGGATTTACAAGCAAACAGCAAGAATTTGGAGGTTTGGTAATCTTAGATAAAGCTAATAAAGCTAATCTTAGAAAAAGCTAGTAAAGTTCCATTAACTATATCACTTCTAATAGTAATTCCTTAGTCAACTTTTCAATAAAAGTCATGTTCTGGGCATTTATTAAATCTTGCAGTTCTAAAAAACAAAATTACATTTTAAAACATAAATTATATTGAATATTTAAAATGCACATAAAATCTTCAGAGTAGTTGTTTATGCCATGAGACGGAAAATAATTTGGACTCACTCAAAAGGACAGTGCAATAGCCCAACTGGAGGTCTTCCAGAGGCTACCTTGGTACAAACTTAGCCGTGTATCTTTGGGCAAGTTGCTTATTTCTGTGGACCACATATTAGAATATAGGACTCTAAGCCTGAACATTTCCAAGGTCCTTTCCAGCTCTAAGAGTCTTTTACTTGATGGGGTAAATTACCCATTTAAAAAATATATATATTAGGGTTCTGTCTTTAAAGCAAGTTGGTAACTTTTTTTTTTTTTTTTAATGAACTTGGGGTCTCAAGCACAGAAGTTTAAAGCCCATATGAAGATGATTTTATAGCATTCTACAAAACCAATCCTAGCCGGCTTCAGGCTAGTCACTAATGAAGATTCGTGTTCTCCCTCCATCGTGAAGAGCTTTGCAGACAAGCGGCTGCACAATCCGGACTGCATTTAACACTCCCCTCTTTGCATCTAGGTGGAACCACATGACTAGTTCTCACCAAAGGACTGTGAGCAAAAATTATGTGTGTACCAGTTCCAAGCCAAGACAGTTAAATATGAAGTGTGTGGTCCTCCATTCTTTCTCCTTCATCTTGTCCTCGAATGAATGACAACCCAGGCTATTTGGAGTCACAAGATGGCAGAGCCACATGTGAAAGGAGCCTGGGTATCTGAATGGCCTATTAAGGAGACTTCCTGCCCAGGGCAGCCACCTGCAATGGACTCAGTCACTGTGAGCGAGAACTTTGACTGTGTTAAGGCTCTGAAAATGATGGGTGGTTTGTTATAGCAGCTTGCTTTAATTATCCTAACATACTCTCTGACTCCACAATGCTGGAGTTCAATTTGAGGCATTGCATAAAAGCAAACTGATCTTACACAAGCAAATTCTCTTTCTCCCCCAAGGGTGGGGGCAGGATAAGATTAGTTTACTCATTATGTCTCATGATTAAGAAAATAGCTGTCCTCAAAAGGTCTTATCAAAATATCCTTTAAACTATTAGATTTTGTTACACAAACAGAGCCTGATGTAGACAATCTGGCTGCCCATGGGTATAGATGCCAAATACTGCTGAACTATGTTTATCATGTATTTTGGAATAACAGAAAGCTCAGTAATCACTGATATAGCTAAAATAAACTAAGCAATTAACCTGCTTTTTGAAACTTTCCAATTCTTCTCCATTTTGAGATGACCTTGTTAACGGGGGGAAGAGAGAGAGGAATCACTGATACCCAGTAACAGGTTATTAGTTACTAATTGATAAGAATTGTTTTTGATTGCAGGAAAAATATAGGACAAGTTTTTTATTTAGCTCTATCTTTGCAAATACTGACAATATTTTATTTAAGCTAGCTTTCTACGGGAAGATCAATGATGTAGAAACACATCAGCAACTCTAGGACAAACTCATTGCAGGGGAATAGGACTGTAAGACAATGCTGGTCTGGGGCCATCGGCTGAGTATGATGCTGGTCTCAGTCAGAAAATCATAGCAAATGCTTAATTAGTAAGAACCCGTAACAGCTGTACAAAGGAACAAACTCCCAATGAATTCAATGCTTCATGGAATTAGAACTCTTACATTTTATTGTATTTTGCACCAAAATTATCATTTAGGGGCTTGAGTTCAAATTGGTCCTGTAAACAAGATGTACATAGCTGTATTACTATAAGGAAAATTAGTTTATAGATACTGAAAACTTTTCTGCAGATACTACCAAAATTTAAAGGGTACATAGATCTTGATCTAGCAACTAAGCTTCTAGAAGTCTATTCAGAGAAATATTAGCAGTGTGAAAAAAAAAAAAAAAAGTCGATTTTGCATAGAAAAATGAGAAAAGTTCAATTAAATATTGATTGATTATGCAAATCCGTACTACAGAATGTGCTAGGTACCTCTTGGCAAGAATAGAGGCTTATATGCTGCTGTGAAGGGAAGTCTTCAATGAAATGATAGAAATGAAAGGTAGCTACACCTACCTACATATAGATACCTATGTATATCCATGTCTAAAATGACATTTTTTTTATATTGATGGATTTGTTTAAGCTAGGAGAAAAGACTAAAAAGTTAAAGACTAGTTAGAGCTAATTCTGATTTTAAGGTGAGATTTTTCTTATTTTATACCTTCAGTATCTTTAGTTGACTGTGAATTAACTTCATAAATAACATCTTCACTTGACCCTCTGGCCTCGAACTCTAAATATTTCTCACTCTTTACCTTCATGCCCCCTCATGCTAAAGCACTTCTTTCTGGAACATCTCCCCCCAAGTATCATCTACTCAAACCCTGGCAGGTGATTTGAAGGCACTCTCGTCCGAGAAATCAGTGTCGATGCTCACATTCCAGAGAATCGTTTCTCATCTGTCTAAGCACCTATTACCCATGAAGTCTTTTACAGGACTTTATCCAGCTTGTATCTTGGAGTCTTAGCTATAGAAACCAAGATTTATTCATTGATGTGTCCCCTATAACATTAAACATAACAGATGTTCAATCAATGCATGCTGAAGTAACAGACAGTTTTTGCCATTCAATGTGTATGCTGCTAATGATTTAGAAAGAGACAAATGGTTCACCTATTTGTCTATTTTCAAAACTTTATTTAAATAGAATCTTCAGAATGTTTTCCTTTAATTTTTACCACAAGATAAAATCCCACTGTTTAAAATCAGATTATTTTATATCAGTTAGGAATCAGGAGAAGAGTTCAATCATTTTGAGAAAAAGCTTTCATAATTGTATAAACACTAATATTCACAACAGTCTTTTATATAGATAACATTGGTATCATATTTAAATGTACAAAATAGTTTAAATTGTATTTTGTTACATAACATTCCAAAATTCAAACTACTAAAAGAAATCCATAAACACTGATAATATTTGGGGAAAACAGCAACAGGTTTATCAAAAGTCATAATACACAATTTACATGTCAAATCCACAAATTCAAAGATATGTGACTACTCTACTTAAAGCATGCTAGAATCTAAATACTATTTTACAATTCATAGGTTGAAACAAATGTTCTTTTGCACCCTATGCAACAGGAATACAAATTATAAAATCATATTTAATATCCTTTTTAATTCCCAAGAGACCACCTTGAGAATCATCAAATCAGGCATTTCCCCCCAAAATTAAAATCCTAATGAATATATTCATAAATATATTCAAAAGAAAATAAAAACAAGAAGATGTCATAAGTTAATTAATTAGGGGATACTATACTTATTCTGTCTTGCTCCAGAAAGAATTTAAGGTGACTTAAAAGATTCAGAAAATAGCAGAAAGCACAAATTACAGATTAAATAAAAACAAAGCACCCAGAGGAAACAGTTTGAGGAAACCACACTCGTAAAACCACTTAAAAGAGGTCAGGAATTAAGTATGCTACATTATTTTCCACAGTGATTTTCTGGAAATATTGCAAAATCTGGTATTAATTTATAACAAAATTATTAAACTACTGGGAAACTAGAGATGCAGATCAAATTTATTAAACTCTCTGAACCCTGATGGAGATGATGATAAAAATGTATGTGCTTTTTTTCTTTGTGCTTCAATGACGGTAAGTTTTCCTAACTGCCATAATGTGTATCTCTAGATTTAGTCCCTAGCTATTAGCAGAGGAAAGTGTAAACACACACACACACACACACACACACACACACACACACACACAATTTGGGTAACCTGACTTAATTTATATTGAGAAATCCATCAACTAAATATCTGCTGATGACCTGAGGATAGGGAGCTACGTTTCAGGTGTTAAGGCGTCATAGGTACAGAACAAAGCATCATTCCTAGGGCATCCTGACTATTTCTGTTCCTCCAGGTCCTACAGCTCACCTTGTTAGGACCCAGGCAAATGACAGGAAGCAGATAAAGTGAAGAGCAGGAGGCCTGCTCAGGTTAGCATGCGAGGCCACGGCCTCCTCTGCTGCCCAGACCCTGCTGGCAGTCTCCACGCCACAGACCCCACCCCACACTGCCCAGAGGAAAGTTCTAGAGAGAAGGCTGGGGCAGCATTAATCAGCTTCTGGGACATATGAATGGCTCTGTTCATCTTTATTCTTCAGGTTCTGCTTTCAACAAGTGATAGAATGAGTGACCTCACACCTGTATGCTGACAGGTAAGAAGCAGAGGGAATAGGGATGAAGAAAGGGCTTGAGGGAAACGGAGAAAAGCTGGCAGGCTCTATGGATGAGTTTCAAAAGCATAGACCAAGGATCGGAACAAAAATATCTACCTGAATACTAAAACTCACTGTTGCTGCCTACCTTTCTTTGAAGATGAATGGTCCCAGCAATACTCCTGAGTTTTAAGAACTAAGTTCAATATACAGATCTAGGGCTGCGGGAACTGCACCGTTCTCCGCTGGAGTGGCCCAGCCACACTCTGGTGTGTGAGGTGGGTTTCACAGGGGAGGGGCAGTGACTGCAGTTTTTCTAAGGACAGCCTTCAGGGCCAACTTATCTGTTAGGCCCCGTGCCTCAGGCCCACAATACTTTCAGAAGCCCATTAAAATTTTTTAATTTCCTTTAAATTCAGAAGAAAAAAAACTTTTAAATGAAGGATGTTTATATGCAATATGAAATTTATTTTATACAAATGCAGTTATAATGTATTAATTTTTAATAGAAGACGAAGTCCAAGAAGACAAAAGTGTCTAAGGCTCAATAGAGTCATAATGCAGCTCTGAATATACAGCCAATGGGCGCAGGCTAGAACAAGCGAGAGGGAAGAAGTATGATCTTGTTGATCTTATTCCACTGATTTTTCTTTTTTTTGCATGTTACTTAGAGATTAGATTTTTCAAGAGAGCTAAGTCTAACACTAGGCAAAGTATTAGTGTCAATTTCTACTAGGCAAGCTAGAAGAAAAACAATTAAGTTAATTATTTTATTGTTTGTGCAATAGTAAGAACCAAATCAGGTTGAAGATACTTGGATGTCTTCAAGTCCTATCTCCACTACTGTAAACATGACTAGAGGTCGGTTTCCCTTTGAGCTTCCTGTACTACACTGCCATTCAGTTCTAGACTTCCTGTTTCTCCAGGGACCTGCCTGCCCCAACTACCCTCACAGCCCAAGGACGGCAGCACAGGAACGCGCCTCTGCAGCTGCACAGATGTTTTAAGAACATGCTAAGGGGGAAAAGGAAGCAGGGAGAATGAGTCAGGGAGGAAGGGAAGAAATATCACAGCTTTTAATGTTCTAAAATTACATTAACCAAAAAAAGGGGGGAAGGGTTAAACTAAAATGTTAACCATGATTATGACAGTAGAATTAAAGTTTTTTTCATGTTTAAAAATATATATTTTATTTAAAAAAAAAAATTGTGCTCTCAAAGCTCTAAAGCTGAGAACTACCATCTATCTTTGAGGCCCTCACAGTATGGCTTAGTAAAGACAGCTAACCACTGGCATGCAGAGGACCCAGACTGGAGAACAGAACTTTTAACCATCTCCACCATTTTCCATCACCAAATTTATCGATATTGTAGAGAAATGTCAATCAACAAAAGGTAATTAATACCATTTTCTAGGACCTGTTCCCAATGTACAATGAGGAAAATGTCAAAAGGAAGAGTACAAAGAAATGAATTACAACCTTATACAGAATCTCAAATCTTTCTGGGAAAGAAATATTCAGTCATAAAACCGAGACCCCTGAATTCCAGGTGAAGAGCCTGAGGTCCGGACAGGCTTATGTGAGTTTATCACTGTCACACAGCAAAGTTGGTAACAGATTTAGGGTAAGAACTCTCAGGTTTCCTGATTTTTGGTCTAGAGCTCTTATACCCCTGGTCCCCAAGGTAAACGCTTTATAAGTTATGTTTCACTGTTTATCCTAAACACATAGAGAGAACACCAATTTTCTTTAAAAACATTTGCTAATTTGGGAACTGTATCATCTCAAAATATAAAGTTCCAGATAAGTAGTCCAATAATTAGAATGAAGCGTAAGATTTCAAACCTGGAAGGATGCTCGGAAGGTAACTTATACCTCAGATACACAAGAATCTATGCCCAAAAGTCAGCTTATCCCCCAAAACTACAAGGTTGAGTCAGACCTACTTCATCTAAAACTGGCTCACTGCTCCTTCCAATACGGTCTTATTCTTCCTTGGCTATTAATAATAATCAAAAAAAGGTAAATTTACGGATTGTCCCCAGATTAGATATAACAAACCTGTTATTAATAAGAATGCTTGGAGAATGGGTGTAAGTTAATTTGATGGTTAATAGAAATAAACTACAATCTATTAGGATAATTCAGGCAGCATGACTACTACGTTTTATCTGAAAGCGTACTTAAATGTAAATCACAATTTTGAGTTTTGTTGTTTGAAAATGCTGCAAGATCTGTTAGTGGCTTGGGCTCATGCATCTGAAAAGAAATTCTAATTATTTGTAATTCTCTAGAGCAGAGGTTGGAAGATAATGGCCAGCAATGTGTTTTGTGAGACTTATGAGCTAAGAATGGTTTTACATTTTTAAAGGTTGTAAAAATGATAAAGACTACCTGACAGAGACAGTATGTGTCCTGCAAAGCCTAAGTTATTGACTAACTGCCACTTTACATAAAAAGTTTGCTGACTTATGTTCTAGATTTAAAAAGTATATGAAACTGGGCTGCATGTGTAATATGTCCTGGAAGACTTTTTTGTTTATAAAATTAAATTTAATTTATTTAAGCTTTATTGTAATTTGCCTCTTTCTATTGATAGCAGGCAGTAGGAAAAAAAACCCCTAGTTTGAGGGGTCTGATGATGTGTTGCAGTTCAGTGAGATTTTATCACCTGCACACTAATTTAAGTAGACATATAGTTGAAGCTATCCATTTTATATATCTGAAATCCACACAAAATGTTTCAGATAGCCAAGAAAATGAAATATCCTGTAGTATTGTTATAAAATGGAAGCAAATATCTATAATTTAAAAACTGGTAATTTGATTCTTTCCTTTGGAGCTCTTCTCTATTTTTAAGATTTTCCCCTTATGCCTCCCCTTGGCCTTACATAGCATGTTGTTGGATTTATTAAATCAGTAGTTTTCAACCATGTTAATTACCCATGTGACTACCCATCCATATCTCATTTGCAACATAAAAAATATCACCAAAACACACAGTAAGGATGAAAATGCTCCTAATGAGACATGAGACATGAGATACCAAAAATGGAATGACTAGTACAGGGAGAAATAAAAACTAGAGACATCCGTTTATCGACCTGAATACAACAGTACAGCGGCCCGCCCTTCAGCCTGCTGCTCTGCTTGCGGCCTCCACTCGAGCACTGTGGCAGACCCCAGTTCACACACACTCTGATACTCACTATATGAAAACAAGTCCCCATCTCTTTTTGTCACATGATTTATATGGCAAAGTTCAGATTTTACTAGAGAAAAAAATATCAAAGCTGTGCCACTGTTAATTACAATAATTTCAAGGTTATAAAGGATAGTAGGATCTACTGTGTCAAAGTTAAAATGTCTTATTTTAAAATCATTACATTAACAGTTCCTTTGGATCCACAGTATAATTCTCTTCAGCTACTCCATTCCCCTGCTTGCTTTTATAATTGGAAAGGAATAAATTTTCTATCTGAGTCAAGAATTCTTCAGCAATGAAGCGATTTGTCACTTTGCTCAGGGTTTTCCTCAGACACTCCAAAAGCTAGTTGAAAAAGAAAAGTTTTATATTTAAACATATGGTAAGTACAAGAAGGCTTACATTACTCTACTTATTTAATGATAAATCTCACATTTCCTAATGCTCAGATGAGAAACGTTCGGTGGCAGATAAACCTGGGCACAGTACTCGCACAGCTGAACAACAGGAAGCACTGCTGAATGCTGAGGTTAGTTCCTTCATGATTTACGTAAGGAAACAAACCTGAGATTGTATGTGCACGTGTGATGCTTTCTACTGGGATAAATTTGTGACTGTGTTCTTTTTCTTCTTCTTCTTTTGTTTTGTATTTTTTAATCCTCACCCAAGGATGTTTTTATTGATATTTAGAGACAGAGGAAGGGAGAGAGAGAAACAATGATGTGAGTGAGAAACATCGATCAGCTGAGCTGCCTCCCATATGCTTCCTGACAGGATCAAACCGGAAATCTAGGTATGTGCCCTGACCAAGAATCAAACCTGCAACCTCCTGGTGCACAGGAAAATGCTCCAATCGACTGAGTCCTTTTTGGAGTGGCTACATTTACAAAACAAAAAGTCATGTAGGATAAAAAAAGTCTATGTACATGCAAACACAGGACTCTATAATCATTTCAAAATTAGGACCCTGGAGTCTATTTCCTGGGAAATGTGCATATTCATCTTCCAACAAAACAAAGATAAAATAGCTATAATAGAAGGGTGTAAAAATATTTTTAAAAAAACTTAGTATGTTTACATTTTCTATTTCCAAAGTGCTACAAAAAAAAAAGGACAGAGAAATGTTGCCAGTCTACTGGTCTTAACTCATTACACTCATAAACAAAACTAGAAGTGAAATAAAATAATTGAGGGCTCTTATTTCCTACCATAAAGTTAAGTAAGATGACTATTTAAATTTAACTGTTAGACTTATAATACCATTCTTTAAAATGATCCATTGTTAAAGCTAAATGGAAACATGAGCTTTTGAGTTTAATAAAACGAGAAAAATGTTCTCCATTGTGTACAATAATAATCTGCTAAGAAATTTATCAGCCAACACTGACAAATTTATTCTAAAATAGTATTATTTCTATATGCAAGTGTGGGCAACAAAACATATTACTAATTATCTCCTAGAAATTAATTTTAAAAAGAAAAAAGCATTAAAAGAAATAAACAGAAAATGTATCCACAAAGCATTAGGCATCATGGGAAAACACCGAGATAAATAGCTTTAGAATCTGTGAACAAAGGAATCAATTAAAATGAAGGCAGCTTACTTTCTGCAAACAAGTCAGGTCAGAATTCCGGCGAAAGATTTTATCCATAGGGACACTGCTGTTGGAAGAAACAGGAAAACAAACTGATGAAACAAGTACTATAAACTAATCAGTTCTGCAATAAACTATCCCTGATGTCATACATCACAATTTTATATTTAACTTGGGTTTTCTCTAAAACATAATTTAATAAGAAACGCTACAGATGTGTAACCCTTTCAAACCACAGCACATACCTATGGGAGAGCCTGTATTTTTCTATTATCCATCTTGTCTTTTCAAACACTAATCCCCACTGAGGTTCTTCTAACATCTGTTGTACTTCAAATTTATAAGGTAAACCTGAAAAATATAAAGAAGTACATTTTCATTAAATTTCCAATCTCCTTTAAATTATTTAAAATTCCCTTCACTGTTTTCACAACCATAGCTTGGCAGACCAGCTGAACAGCACTTAAAATGGTGAGCAGTCGTTAAATATTTATTGCCTGGCTAAACTTGGACCACCAAGCATATTAATGCCAAGCAATTAATAATAATAAAGAAAAAAGTACCATTAACATGATAATTCTATGCAAGGAGATGTGAAAGATAAAATGATCACATAATTTATTATGCAAACCAAGAGACTTCGGTGAAAGGAATCACTATTAAAAACTGAGTCAGAATGACAGGCTTAAATTGAGACTGACCTAAGCAAACCAAGACATAATTCCAATCTGGTGATTTTTTAAACATGGGTTATATTAAGGTTTACAACAATGTTATAAGGTTGGTAGCATTATTCCTATTTAACAGACAAGAAAACAGGCTGAAACAGGTTAACCTGTTTAGACTAGTAAAGGGAAAGGTTGAATTTTAAACCTTAGCAGGTCTGCCTGACTTCCCACACTCATTCCACCTCCCTACAGTTGCTAATCTAAGACTGAACAGAGAACAGGAAGAATTCTGGAGAGGCAGCAACTATACTTGAGTCAAAGTTGTTATGCTAAACTCTAGAAGAAAGGAGCCCAAGGGATGGACATCATGTACACTGCTAGAAAGGAAAACACCGAAGGATGAGCCTACTTAGAAATTTCTCACATATCCTTCAAAATCCCCATGTAAATACATATTTATAGTGTACTAAAAGAAAAGTTCAGCTGATTCATTACCGTGGCCAATACTATAACAACACATATAATGCTTACACATGCTATGTGCTTTATATATGTAAGACCACTTCAATGAATTAGCTACCAGAATTGTCCCCATATTTTTTCCTTTTTTTTTCTGATGAGGATACTGAGCCACAGAGAGAATTAATAACCTGTTCAAGGGCATATATAACCAGTAAGAGGAAGAGTCATGACTTCAAGCCAGGCATTCAGCCTCAACGTACATTCTTAACCTTTCCATTATACTTCCTCTCAACTGAGTTTTTGCCATCATAAGGCTTTTTAAGTAAAAACAAGCCAGCAAATCAGAAGGCATAAGAAAAAATATATGACTATACTCCCTTATAATAAAACACAGTTTGTCAATATGTTCTAAAAACACTCCCATCCCTCCTACCTCCTTTTTCTCAGGTGTATGGTAGGAGAGAAGGGAACAGCAGGCCTGAGGATAATTTATCTGTTTTTTCATTTCTCAATTCTCCATTTCATTTCTCCCCTCCAAAAATTTAAAAGTGATACATTATACCTATTAAGCAAACTTCTCTTGATGATAATCATTCACTTGATATGTACTGATTGATTACCTACTGACAATAGCTATAATCAGACAATAGCTATAATCCTCACTACCTATTGAAGACTCTAGTATTTGCTAAGCACTTTACACACATTATTGACAATCTTTACAACCCTCTATAAGTGAGGTAATAGTTTTTTCTCATTTTACAGATTTGGCAAAGAAGAATCAGACAAGTAAAGTAATCTAGCTAAAGTAAAATAACCAATACGTGTCAGAGCTGGGATCTGAATCCAGGTGAAAAATTCCTACTCCTAGTGGAAGTCGAAAATGAGAATAAAGAGAGATAAATAAATTTTCAGTTGTGCTGATGGAAAACAATGAGAACACACACACACACTGCATACATACACACACACAGCTCTATTTGGTATTAAGAATATTTCTCTAAGTAAAAAAAAAAAATGGCACTAAAACTAGTAAAAAGTTCCTTTTGTGATGAATATTTTTATCCACTAAAATTCAGAAGAAAGATTCAAAATGGTGGCAGAGTGAATGGAAGCTACATAGACTGTCTCCCAGAACCAAACTGGATTTACAACTAAAATAAAGACAAGTCTTGTGGAAAAACCAATTGAAGAGCAGCTGGAGAAAACCCTAATAACCAGGGGCATAAAGAGGACCACAAATCGAGACTGGTAGGAGCTGTGGGGGCACGAGAGGGCTAGCTGGGTGCCCACAGGCAGCAACTGAGGACTGTCTTAGCTGTGAACAGTTCCCTCTGAGAACTCAGGGGTTGAAACCCAAGCCAGCTCCCCAGCACAGAGTGGCGGAACAGGGAAAGGCGCCGACAGAACACCTGGCACTTCTCTGAAGGGCCAGTGCACCGTATTACAGCAAGAGCCACTCACCTTGGGCTCCAGCAGAGGGAGGGCAGACTGGACTGGAACTGGGTGAGGAGAGTCAGGGGTTCATGGCAATGGGGAGAGCTGGGAAGGAACTCTATGCTGAGTCATACCCCCACCCCCCCCAAGGACAGTAGCCACCTTCTTCAAAGAGCCCCTTCCAAGAGCAGCTGTAGCCTGGGGGAGAAGCAATTGCCCCTCCTTCAGGAATTACCACCACACAGCCTGGAGAAGTGCAACCTGAGGCTCATTAATAGCCAAAGACTACCAGCAAGCCAGTAGGCAGAGACAAGATTCTGAAGACTTTGAGCCTTGGGCCTGACCCTCAGTGCTGGGTGTCCTGGTTCTGGGGACTGAGCTGTGAACGTTGAGGGCTGGATCCCTGTGCTGAGCCAATGACCCACACAGCATAAACAACCTTTTTCTCAAAGCAACCTTAACCCAGGGGAAAGCATTTGCCCCACCCACAGGAAATCCTCTTACCCTGCCCACCTGAGGGATTTTTCACTCAGCTGAGGGCTACAACCTGAGGCTCATTAAGTAACTGAGACTAATAGACTGCAGGCAAAAGCTCTGAGATAACTGAATCTTTGCTTGGCCTGGGACTCTAGACATTGGCATTTAACATGGTTCCTTCCATACTCATCCAAACCCAGCAAAGGGAACCACAATCAGTGGAACACTGACACCCACAGGGAAAATTTGGCAGGCTCCAAACCCTGATAAGACAGCCAAAACAGTGAAACAAAGAAACAAATCCCAAATGAAACAAGAGAATTCTACAGAAAAAGAGATACATGAAATGGAATTAAGCAAGTTATCAGAGGTAGAGTTCAGAGTTTTGATTATGAGGAAGGTCAACAGCATGAGTAGATATAAAAATAATGAAAATCAACCAATTGGAAATGAAAAACCACCAAGCAGAAATAAAGAATGACATTGCAGAAATAAAGAACACACTGGAAGGAATAACCAGCAGATTAGAGGAAGTCAAGGATCGGATCAGCAAATTAGAAGACAGATTGAAAAAAAATAACCCAATCAGAGAATCAAAAAGAAAAAAACAATTAAAAAACAGGATGACAGTTTAAGAGGGCTATGGGACAACATAAATTGTAACTACATCTGCATCACAGGAGTTCCAGAAGAAGAAAATGAGCAAGGGTTAGAGAATATATTTGAAAAAATAGTGGCAAAAAACTTCCCTAACTTGGTGACAGAAAAAAGCATACAAGGATAGAAGCACAGAGCCCCAAGTATAAAGAACCCAAAGAGCCCCACACCAAGACACATCATAATTAAAATGCCAAAAATTAAAGACAAAGAGAGAATCTTAAAGGCAGCAAGAGAAAAGTAACAAGTCACCTACAAAGAAGACCACATAAGGCTATTAGCTGATTTCTCAAAAAAAAAAAAAAACACTACAGGCCAGAAGGGAATGGCATGAAGTATTTAAGGTAATGATGAAAAACAAGGATTTGAATCCAAGACTACTCTATCTAGTAAGGCTATCATTCAAAATAGAAGGTGAAATAAAGAGCTTCCCAGAGGAAAAAAAAGGCTAAGGGAATACCTTAGCATCAAACCAGCATTGCAAGAAATGTTAAAAGGACTGCTGTAATAAGCAGAAGAAATGGAGAAACATTGCCGTAATAAATCAGAATGGCAATAAGTAAGTACATATTGATAATAACCTTAAGTGTAAATGGATTAAATGCTCCAATCAAAAGACACAGAATAGCTGAATGGATAAGAAAGCCTGACTCATATATATGTTGTTTATAAGAGACCCACCTCACAACAAGACTCACACAGGCTGAAAGTGAAGGGATGGAAAAATATCTTCCAAGCAAATGAAAAGGAAAAAAAGAGCTGGGGTAGCAATACTCATATCCAATAAAACAGACTTCAAAATGAAGGTCATAACTAGAGACAAAGAAGGCCACTATATAGTATTAAAAGGATCTATATAACAGGAGGATATAACCTTGGTAAACATATATGCACCCAATATAGGAGCACCAAAATACATTAAAAAACTTCTGGAGGACTTCAAAGGAAAAATCAACAGCAATACAATCATAGCAGGGGACTTCAAGACCCCACTGACATCACTGAATAGATCCTTTAGACAAAAAATTAATAAGAAAATACAGACTCTAAATGATGCACTAGATCAAATGGATTTATTAGGTATTTACAGAGAATTACACCCCAAAACTGCAGAACTCACATTCTTCTCAAGTGCACACAGGACATTCTCAAGATAGACCACATGTTAGGATACAAACTAAGTCTCTACAAGTTCAAGAAGACTGAAATCATATCAAGCATCTTCTCAGATCACAATGACATGAAACTATAAATTAATTACAATAAAAATACTCAAAAACATTCAAACACATGGAAGCCAAATAGCATGCTATTAAACAATGAATGGTTTACCAAGGAGATCAAGGAAGAAATAAAAAAAATTCCTGGAAATCAACAAAAATGAACACACACAACAATACAAAATCTATGGAACACAGTCCTGAGAGGGAAGTTCATAGCACTACAGGCTTACCTCAAGAAACAAGAGAAATTTCTAATAGGCTATCTAACCCTACAATTTAAAGGACTAGAAAGTAAACAAAAAGAAAAACCCAGAGCAAGTAGTAGGAAAGAAATAATAAAGGTCAGAGCAGAAATAAGCAACACAGAGCCTAAACAAACAATTCAAAAGATCAATGAAACAAAGAGCTAGTTCTTTGAAAAGATAAA